TAAGATTGACAAAACCCTTAACCAAATTAACCAGAAGAAAAAAGAGGAGACATTATAACATATCAACTGTACTGGCTGGTTTTGTGTCAATTTGACACACGCTAGAGTCATCAGAGAGGAAGGAGCCTCAGCTGAGGAAATGCCTTCATGAGACATAGCTATAAGGCATTTTCTCAATTAGTGATCGGTGGGGGAAGACCCAGTCCATGGTCGGTGGTGCCGACCCTGGGCTTGTGGTCCTGGGTTCTATAAGAGAAAGCCAGCAGAAGCAAGTCAGCAAACAGCACCCCTCCATGGCCTCTACATCAGCTCCAGCCTCCAGGTTCCAGTCCTGTTTGAGTTCCTCCTGTTCTGACTTTCTTCAGTGATGAAAAGCAATGAGGAAGTGTAAGCCAAATAAACCCTTTCCTCCCCAACTTGCATTTTGGTGATGGTGTTTCATCAAAGTAGTATCTTAATCCCTAACTAAAACACCAGTGAAATTCATGAAATTATAAAGACATACTTTAAAGGCTATATTCCATGAAATTGGGAAATCTAAAAGAAACAGACAAATTCCTATATGGATACAATATATTAACACATTAAAATTAAGCCAAGATTAAATAATTTACAAAGATCCATAATCAGCAATGAGATTGGAAAGGTAATAACAACCCCACACACAAACCAACAACAATGACAAAAAAAAAGGCTATGAAAAACTCTGATAACTTCAAAGAATTAAGACCAATGTTACTCAAATTGTTCTGTCAAATAGAAAAGGAAGGTCCCAAAATGTTTTTGTGAAGTCAATATTACCCTGATATCAAAACCAGTTAAAGACACCAAAACAAACAAACAAATAAATAAAATTACAGATAGATCTCTCTAATGAACACAGATGCAGAATTTCTCATTAAAATACTGGCAGGTAATATTCAGGCTCATAACAAAAAGATCATTTACCAACATCTCTTTATGATAAATGTCAAAGTGAATCTAGAGACAAAGTATAATTCAACATAATAAGATCTATACAACAAACCTATAGTCAACATCATGCTAAATAGAGAAAACTTTAAGTGTTCCAACTAAGAAAAGGACTAAGGCAGGAGTGTCTGCTCTCTCATTCCTATTCAATATAGTAGTTGAAGTCTTAGCTAGAGCAAAAAGACAAGAGAATGAAATAAAAGAGATGAAAATAAGAAGAGATAATATGATAATCATGATAGGATCCTCAAAAGAAGAAATCCTATTTAAATGAAGTGGCAGCAACAAAATTAGCATATAAAGATCAGGAGCCTTCATATATACCCATGACAAAAAGACTGAAAAAGAAATCGGGGAACTAATCCTATTCACATTGGTAATAAAAGGCAGGAGGAAAAACCTAAACAAGGCAAATAAAGGCCTCTACAAGGAAAATTAAGATACTGAAGAAAGAAAATGAAGCAGATAATACAACACAAAAATACCTTATGCTCATGGATTCAAAGAATTAATACTGTGAAAATAACCATCCTACCAAAGCTTACCTATAGACTTAATGATCCCAATTGAAATTCCAACATCATTCTTCACAAACAGAAAAAGAATACAAAATTTTATATAGAGGCACAGAAGGCCAAAGCAATCCTGAATAAGAAGAATACAGAAAATATCATATGGGAGTCAAATCATTCTACAGAGCTATAATAACAAAAATAGCATGTACTGTCACAAGTTCTATTCAAAGGAATAGAACTGAGATTCCCTGATAAAAGTCTACAAAACTAAGTTACCTGGGTTTTTGTGTAAGAGATGCCATAAGTATACATTAGAAAATAGGACAGCATCTTCAACACATGGTGCTGGGAAGGCTGAGTTTCAACATACAGAGAAATGAAATTAGATTTTTATCTCTTGCCACACATAAAACTCAACTCCAAATGAATCAAGGACTTCAATATAAGACCAGCTACCTGAAACCACTGAAAAGTTCAACTCACAAGTACAGACACACACTTTTTGAATCACACCTAGTATCACAGGAAACAAAACCAACAAGCAACAGATGGGACATGGTAAAACTAAAAGCTTCATTATAGCAAAGATAACTTAAGACAAATGAATCCACAGCACACAGAACAGGAGAAAATCTTTGCCAGCTGTTCATCAACAGAGAATTAGTGTCTAGAATATACAAAAACAAAAAGTCTTTAAACATTAAGAAAATAAACAATCCAGTTTTCAAAAACTAGCTATACAACTAAACAAAATTTTCAAAAGAAATACAAATGTTTAGGAAACACAAGAGTACTCAACTTCCTTAGACATCAGGGAAATGAAGATTAAATCACTTTAAGAATCCACCTCGCTGGGCAGTGGTGGCGCACGCCTTTAATCCCAGCACTCGGGAGGCAGAGGCAGGTGGATCTCTGTGAGTTCGAGGCCAGGCTGGACCGATAGCCTCCAAAACAATACAGAGAAACCCTGTCTCCTAAAAACCAAAAAAAAAAAAAAAAAAAAAAAGAATCCACCTCACTCCAATGAGAATGGCCAACATCAGGAACACAGTAGGACAATAATTGCTGGGATGGATTTGGTGAATAGGGACTCTTAGAGTTGGTAGGGACATAAACCAATGCAGCCACCTTGGAAATCAGTCTAGTGGTCCTCAAAACAGTTGAAATGACATTGCCCAATGACCCAGCCACACTACTCTTAGACTCAAAGAACTGTTTCCCCTAATACAGAGACACATTAACAATCTAAATGTCCATCAGAAGGCAAATGAATAAGGAAAATGTGATACGTATACACAATGGGATATTACTCAGTTGTAAAGAAAAATTAAAACATGAAATTTGTAGGTATGTCTGGAACTAGAAAAAATTACACTCAATGGAGTAACTCGGGCCCAGAAAGATAATGCCACATGTTCGCTCTCATTTGGAGATCTCTCTGTGTACTTAATTTGGAACACAAGTGGGAGCCAGGGAAGTAGAAAGCAGCCTTGGGAGGGGGGACAATAAGAAAGGAGGGATAATGGAGTACTTGAGGTGGGAGGCTTAAGCAAAGAGAGGTATAAGAGTATGGAGAAAATCAGGGGTGAAAGAGAGGGCTGACCCACAGGAAGAGGATATCAAAAGCCACAGAGGGGCCTACTATCACGAAGCCAACTTTCAGTAACAAGTGGAGAGAATAGTAGGACACGTGTGAAAAAAAATGAGGAACTCTGAATTAAAAGATCAAGCAGGAATGGGGAGGGCTATGGGAAAAGAGGGACAGTAGGTAGGCTAACCAAAACTAAAGATATCTGAAAAAGTACTAAGGAAATCCACTGGTTAGTAAGTTAATTTCAAAATACAACTTAAAAAATAAGACTTCAAATGGCACTACTCTGCATGGACAGACACTGTCTCTCCCAGAAGACAAGGGTTATGAAATTTTCAATACAAAGCATGGCATGCCTCCCTACAAGCTATTGGTCAAGGAGGACCAAGTGGTTCCAAACAACACAAGTTATAGTCACTGCTATTAATTACCACCATAACTACATGATAAGACCCTACTGTTGAAGATACCATGTAAACTGGTTGCAGGACATACAGAAATCAGTCTCTAACTAACCAGGAAACTTCCTCCTTGCTTGACTAGCTTTCATGGTGCCAGAAAGTACTATGCAGGCTGCTGGGGGGCTGAGGCAGAAGACACCAATAGTCTTTTGAACCCTGGACCCTGCATATAATATGGACCTGCCACACAAGCTATGTATATGGGCACAATAGAAGCAGGAGTGTTATGGGTTAGCTAATTGCTTTTTTTTTACTGGATCTGAAGCCTGTTCTACATGAGGGAAGTTTCTGGCCAAAAGCCCATGGCTGCAGAGGTCATAGTCCATAGAGTGGAACTTGCTATTATTTTGCTAAATGATCCCATTGTCAAATTGCCTTCTAAATACTTATTTTTGTACCCAAAGTCCTGGTCTGCTCTTAACCCTGGTCAAAGAAACTTCTGAGTGACCAGCAGTCAACAGAGAGATGCACCCCTGGTCAGAGTACTGAGAGTAAAGTCTGACTGCTCACTCTAGTTGGGACATCTATATTAACGGTAAGACTACAGCAACATCTCAAAAGAGGAGGTAGAAGGAATGTAGGAGCTGGGGGCTGCTATAGAACAGACTTCTGGACATAACACAGCAATAGTACCATGATCTCACAGCAGCTTATGGTTACCTGAACAAGACTTACACAAGACCAACCCAACCAAAAAATCTCTAAGCAAAGCCCCTTAGGAGCTACTGACAGTGGATAGTTGCCGGAGTATGGAGAACCATTCTTTATTGAGGATATGACCATTACTAGGTTTCTCATGCTGCAGTGGACAGTCCCATACTCATGCATGTAACAGGCAGACATTATTTATTTACAAGCACAGATGAATCCCTAACCTCTCCCGAGACAGCAACTCTACCTGAGCCCAATTCAATACTGCAACTACAAGGAAGGAACATCAGAAGGAGGAATTCAGGTCAATACAAGATTAGAGGACCATATTCCATATTACAGAGGTCTATATACATCAGTTCCTGTAGTTCTGCACAGAGCAGTGGGTGAGTTTTTCAAAAAGCAAAACAAGTAACTACATGAAGTTGGGGAAGAGGGCATATTGAGGAACATGGGGGTAAATGATAAGTGGCAAATACCTCACTGTGTAAATGCATGAAGTTTTGAAAATTAAAAAAAATTGAAAACAACTTGTCTATTCACTTAGCCAATCTACTAGATATTGTTGTTATATAATATACTTAGTAGAAGTTTATTGTTACATTTCTTTTAACTTCTCACTTTCAGTAGTTGACTAGTTTTATTTGTTTCATCTGTTTGTGAATAAAGCATGTGGAAAAACTTAAAAAGTAAATAAGCTTCAAATGTACTTTAATAATCAGAAAAATACTACCGTGAAAAAAATCAAATGTTTTTGTGTGTGTGTGAGATTTTTTTGAGGGCCCTAATTATGACTCAACTTTCACTTACCCTTGGATTACATAAGGAAACTGACGACTCTGGGCTGGATCAGTTTGTGCTTGTGGAAGGGTACGCTGCCTCAGTCCTTCTGAAGAACCAGCAACTAATGACAAACTCTCTTGACTGGGGGATGGTGTTGTTGAATCTGAGTGATCTGAATTCTACAACAAATAAAGAGAAAATGTTAGTATGTCTTCCTAAACATGTATTTATGAAATCCCTCTGGAAAAAAAACCCAAAATTTTAGAAACTGATCTGAATTTCATGTCCAATAAAATATACTTAGATTTTAATGAAATGAAGAGTCAGAAAGCCAAGATTGTGATAGTAATATTGTATTTATCAACTAGACAACAGAATAACAACCTACAAAAAAATTACATACTAAGCTATGCAGATTAAACTACAGCAAGCAAAGCTCCTTTCACACTGCTTGGCTCATGGAAAGTGTCTAATAATGCCACTAATTTCTCCTCATTTAAACTGTTACTATATGCCGGATGGCAAATATCTTGTAACAGATGTTGGTAACACTGTCTAAGAGAAGATGAAAAACAAGGACCTAAAATCCCTGCTGTATCTCACATTAACAAAGAACATAACTTTAAGAGTCATTTACAGTCTACATCTCCACTTTCTTGAAAAAACAAGACTGGCCTAGATTTTCAAACTTTTCAATTCTAAACTTTTATCAGTTTACAAATGCCATAAACAATTTTGTTTTTACAAGCCAAAAAGATACCAATCAGAATTGTAATGCTCAGGTTCAAATGTTCCAGTAAGTACAGCTTGGTAAAGTTCCTCAATGAGTAATGGTTAGAAAACAGTTTTTCAAGTGTTGTACATTTTTAAAACATAATTATATTTTATACAGATTATAGTACTCTCATCTTGGAAAGTTAGACGCGTTATTTTTAAATCCTTCTAAGTTTGTTAAAATTGCCACAGCCTCTTGATGGACAGGATGTCTTTTAGTCTATCTTCCTGACTTCTGTCCAGTGAAAAACCACAAGCACACAAGTCTCTGCAAAATGATTTCATTAAGAAGTTACTTCATAATGGGCTGGTGAAACCAGCAGAAACAGCTGACCTGAACAAGGGGAGCTCTTGGAATCCAGACCGACAGCTGGGAGGCCAGCACGGGATTGATCCAGACCGCCCGAATGTGGGTGTCAGTGAAGAGGCCTGGACAACCTATAGGACCCTGGGCAGTAGATCGGTGTTTATCCCTGGCATACAAACGGACTTTGTGTGTCCATACCACAAAGAGGGATGTTCTCTCAGCCTGAATTCTTGGGGGAGGGCCTGAACCCTGCCCTAAATGAAATGACAGACTCTGAATATCCCTCCCCTCTGTGGAAGGGAGTGGGGATAGGATGGGAGGCTGGGAGGGATGGTGAGGGAATGCGGAAGGAGGGGAGGGAGAGGGAGCTGCGACTGACATGTGAAGCAAGCTGTTTTCTAAAAAAAAAAAAAATATATATATATATATATATAAAGAAGTTACATCATGAAAAACAGATACTAAATATTTTATTAAGGAGTCTTGGCTCTTTAGGACAGAACCGAGAAAAGCTATTTTAAAAAACTCATTAAATGGGACATTAAAATATGATATTCATAGCCAGGTGGTGGTGGTGGCACACTTAGGATATATATATTTTCAGAGTATTATGAAATTACAAAAACTATCAGAGGAAAGAAAGATAAGTTTAATTTCCCATAAGTTTTCATGATTTAAAGATTTCAAAGAAGTCTGAAAATAATTTAAACAATCTAATCATAAAAGAATTGCCTATTAAGATAAGAAGTAATTAGTTTTAGAGGAATTAGGATGTGTTGACATATAGGGAGGCTTTTCTATTAATTATACTAAAGAACACCATATCTTTTTTGTTGTTTTTTGGTTTTTCAAGCTAGTAGCTTCTCTGTGCAGCCTTGCCCATCCTGGAACTCACTTTGTAGATTAGGCTGGCCTCAAACTTAGAAATCTACCTGTCTCTGTCTCCTGAGTGCTGGGGTTAATGGTGTGAGTCACAATAGAATGGTTGATTGAATTCTTAACAAGGAAAATACCTTTAGCACAATCAATGTCCCTTGTCTAGCCAAAAAGGATAAAGAAAGCTTCCATAATCTCAATCCTCTCACCCTCAAAGCTTAACTCCTACAAATTTCCAAAACAATTTCAGGTAGAAATGAATACTTAATTATATCAGAGGTAAATATACTAAGTAATTCTCCTCCCCTCTTCATTGTGAATGTATTCCTGAATCCAGTGATTAAAAAACAAAACCACCAAAACAAACAATCATAAAAACCCCACATGTCTTCTGCCAAGTAATTTACTTTAAGTCACTTAGATTTAAATAATTTAAAGTACTTTGAATAAAATATACTACATTTGATACCTTAATATTTCATAAATGTCACTAACCTAAGATCTATATTATAAAACTATATCTCTGTTTCCAGAGTATTTCAGTAACTAAATCTGTAAAGACCTGTCCATTCATCAAATTGTAACTCAGGGTAAACACAGCTTCCAAGTAAAGTAACATTGTATCTCTAAAAACAAATGTTAAATGTATACTCTTAACTTTTCTAAACAATCTGAGTATGATAGCATGGCCTTCTGATTCCAAAAATGAGAAAGTTGAAGCAAAGGGATCAACAGTTGAAGGTCAGCCTCAGATACACAGTGAATTCATGACCAGCAAGCAGGGTTACATGCGATCTCTCTCAAAATATCAAACGATGACCAGAAATAAAACAAAACAAAGCTACAAACCCCGAGTGTTCTGCTTTTCTGTTTGGTTTTTTTTTTTAATTCAGTTTAGCTTGTTTTATTTACATGTTTGATCTTTGCTATGGTAATGACCAAACCAGAGTCTCACATCGCTAGATCAGTGTTGTACTGTGGAATGATAGTCCAGCCCTTCACTTAGTTTTTAGAGGCAGAAAACGAAAATCAGAACAGTTCAATGTTTACTCCTCTCACAGTAACTCACAGAATTGGAGCTGGATGCCAGTGCTTCGTGACTTTCTCTACTGGTGCTGGATTTTGGAGAACTGGGAGGGCTCCGAGCAGTACAGACTAGATGAACCATATGATACTCATCTTGCTAAAATTAAAGAAGATCTTATTAAAAGCAAATTTACAGTTCAAAAAGTCACTAGCTAAGCTGAAATACTGAACAAGACTTAAATTCCTTTCCTTCATAGCCTAGCCATTTTGCTAGTAATAAACTGTCCAATATTTAGAGATAAGTTTGCCATTTCAATACTTTGCAGCCTTCTGGATTCAATATTTTCTCTCCAAGCTTAAAGAATGGTTTAAATACTCAATAATTATTATGTTAATAGTACTTGGCACACATAAACCAGATTTGAAGCAACAAATAGGACAAAATTTTATCTACACAAACTATTATTTCAATATAAAAAATGTATATTGTCTTAATAACAATGAGTCACTTTGAAGTTTCAGATCCACAAACTCTGAATAGTAGAAATACTTCAGTTACTTGAATATATTGATAAAGAAACTCAATCTCATACAACTTAATTTTAGCAAGGTGAAGTACAGTTTTTTACTACTTTCCAAATTAAGTCAACTTTTTTTTTTTTTTTGGTTTCACGAGACAGGGTTTCTCTGTATTGTTTTGGAGGCAAGTCAACATTTTTTTATTCTTTAACATTTATACACAGATATAGAACATATATTTGAGTCATATTCTATAAATTTTCCATATTATTTCCACAACTATGACTGAGAGAAAACGTTCTACATAATGACAAGGTTGGTCTTTTTGCTTTAGTGAGATCACACACACATTTACACAAGACATAAAGCTGGAAAAGATGACAGCAACAGGCAACAATGAAGGAGAGTGATGAGTCAGCATTTTAAAGACCTATGATGAAGAGCAAAATAGTGAAGGGTGGGTGGGCAGGAGTCAAGAAAGATTCCTGATGTGAGAAAGAGAAGACTTGATCCACTACCAGGAACCCAGACTTGTGCTCAGTTCTGAGGTGAATTCAAGAAAGCCAAAGGCAGTCTTAAAGGAACTTTATGATATTGTTAACAAACCAAACTAGTGTATTTGGGCCCAAAGACACACAAACCAATGCAATGGAGTTCAATGATAGACATACATGAAAATATTTGCATAAGACTGAAAAACCTAAACTACAGTTGCTGTCAGCTTCTGAAGAGGGAATACTAAGAATCCAATGTGTATCCCCATAATCCAAGGGTCAAAGGTCATAACAATAATGGTTTATCACAACATCCATTCACCTTCCAGGAATGTATCCATAGAACATCTTATAACTAAACAGTTTGTAGAGTCAATAGCAACATTTTACTGAAAAGAAACCAACTTTAAGAGAAGCAATGCTAAGAAGTGCTTGACATAAGGTCTGCACAGTCTTTTGAGAATATTCATGTGCAGGTTCCAGGCTGTTATTCAGAAAACAACAAACAATAAATACATCTGTGCTTCAAAGAACAGATTGCATAAACAGGGAAAGAAAACAACATTCAGGGTAGCTCACTGATGGAGCTCTTGTCTAAGTAAGTGCAAAGTCCTGGGCATGATCCCAGCACCACCAAAAAAGGTGAAAAAGAAAAATGAATATTTAAGCATATTTTACCATATAATACCATAATGGTGGAAATGTGTAATTATACATTTGTCAAAATCCAGGGTATGCATCACCTAGAGTAGTGACTTTGAGTATGTATAATTTTGAGTGATAATGCTCACTAATCACAACAGATGTACATTAAAGCAGCTATGACAGCTGGGATAGGCTATCCATTAGGGGAACGTAGATGAGAAATCTCTGTGCTTTACACTGCAATATTTTTAAGGTGGACAGATGGTAAAACATTATAGTCATTTGAAATTATGCAACTGAACCATCAGAAGTCACACTGGGAAAGCTAAAACTTCACTTAAGCAGAAGAAATGCATTGGCATTACATTTTATGTTTCCCATAGGTGATATAAACAGAATAAAACAGATCAGGAATATCTGCATTAAAAGTTAAATTAAAAAGCCAAACATGAGGCTGTATTCACAAACAAAAAGTAGCATATCAAGAATAAAAAGTTCTAAATGTAAAAACTTCACAAAGGACAATGAACTAAAAGGCACCTTTAAAATAATTACCACTCAAGTTGATTGTCAAAAAGCTACCTTGAAACGTTCGGCACTGTCTGAGCATCAGCACTTAAATTCTGATAACAGTATGCCACCTAGGCATCATCCTATTGCCTTTCTTGAAATTAAACTCCCAGCTTACACCATTTTTATTAAAAATGGTATATATCCTGATTAAAAACGGTTTAAAGAGATGTTATCAATCTTACACCATTGTAAATACTTCTTTTGGAATACTGACAAGTCAGTCAGTGTTTTCTTCTAAAAGATGAATAAAATATGGACACAAATAACTTCTGAATACAGTAACTTCAGTTTTTCTCAGCTGGGCACACAAAACTGTTAGCCAAGCTATTTCTATGCTCTCCTGTTGTTACCTTCTGACTTACTGTATCTGTTCTGCTACCCACAGAGATTATGAATTCAACTGGCTAGACAAAACTTGTTCACAGTTTCTACTGTTCTCCCTAGGTAGAAGTAGAACTTACTTTTCTGAGAATATCTTTCAGCTGCAGATGGTCAGGAAGCAATCTGCCCGAATACACCAATCTCTGGTCCTTTGTCAGCTAGAAATGAGATACAAGAAAGAATTCAGCTTTTTAAAAACATGACTAAATATGGATTTAAATATTGAGCACAAATAGGTAGAAAACAGATATTTTAAGAACTTTGCATCCTAAGTTCTGCTCAAGGCATTTAAGAGCTGAGCAAATGGCATCATATCTATAATAATAATAATAAAAGCTGCAGATCATCACCATAAAAACATGACAAAGGTAAACTAGAAGTTTATTTTATCAGCTATAAGGTAGTGCTCTTAATTTACAGATTTATTTTCTTCTAAACATAATGATCTTAATTTGAAAGTCATTTAGACTTAATGGCAGGTTAAATTAACTACTTAATTTAGCTTTAACTGTTTCTTCCACTTAAAAATATCTACACATGTTCAAAACAGCAAAAACAGAGAAAAATCAACATGAGTGCATAGGGATTCAGTTATTACCCTTATATGTAACTCATAATAGAAGGTATGTTCTAGTTGGCTCTGTTACACTTTATTTAGTACTTCAAGATAAATCTGCTGAAGTTTATTCTGCTAGTATCACTTAAAATTAGTGTGCTTTGTTAGTCCCCATAGGCCTATTTACAAATGTCCCTTGAATTCCAGGAAAACAATTTATTAGGTATACCAAATGTTAAATCCAAAATCCAATCCAAGCCTTAAAGACAATTTCAAACAAAGTGTATTTTCAGCATGGCTATGACAAAAGTCATATATTTGAAAGTCATAATAGAAATTGCTATGCTGAATGAGATCTATAGTTCAGGCATTCTTAGACACCAACAGACACTAGAAAACAGTTATCCTTCCAAGATGCTTAACGGATAGACATGATTTCAGTATGCCACTTCAAAAATGCAAAGTATAAATTACTATATTTAAATATATATATGTTTTTTTAATACCAACTCTTAAAAACTCTAATCAGCACATAAAAACTGAATAGAGCTCTATATACATTTGGTCTTCATCTCATTTCCTGTCATTTAACCTCCCTCCCTAAAATCCTTAAATTCTGGCTTTTGCTAATGAGATGACCAGTATCTAGAAAGCAAAAGTGTTGGGATGGGGCTTGATATCCAGGGGAACCAGCCCTTGATTAGAGTTGTCACTTCTTATGCCAATCTCCAGAAACAGGGTCCAGTTTGAATTAACCAGTGGTCAGTGGTTTAATCAACCATACCTATTTCCACAAAAATCCAAAAGGATTGAATCCCAAGAGTTTCTGGACAGCTAGCAGGGAAATAATTAACGAGGTTCTGGCATGGCTAGAGAGGGCCTAAAGATTCTCCACCACCCTTAACCCACACTTCACCCTACGCAGCATGCCCAGCTGGCTACCCAGCTCAATCCTTTATCCTGTGTGGAAAATAGGTATTTGAGTTTAAGGCTCATCCAAGAATATTCTGAGCAGCACAATTTAGTCTTGAAGGGCTTAAAAATAAAAATAGAAGGACACAAAGTTGGGTGGCTATGGAAGTGGGAGTGGATCAGGAAAGAGATTTGGGTTAAGTATGACCAGAACGCATATGAAACTCAAAATTTAAAAATAAAATTAATTCCTTTTATTTTTTTAAAGAGTGCATAGAAATTCTCCACCACCTCTTCTCCCGTACTTCATCCTCTGCAGCTTTTTGTGCTGGCTGTTTAGCTGAATCTTTATCCTCTATAGCAAGTAGGTAAGAGTTCTGTGAACCACTCTACCAAAGTAATCAAACCCCAGGAGGGGATCTTAAGAAGCCTGGTAAACCCCTATCTGAAGAAGGAAAGAGAAGGGCAGACCTGCAATGCTTAGATAAGGGGTCTGACAGTGCATCTTCAGAAGGGAACTCAATTAGATGACACCCAGTTGCTATCTTCAGAGAAATCTTCACACATTTTGGTGAGTATAAGTCACAGAAGTATTTTGTATTGAATGCTGTGACACTAGGAGAAAGCAAGTTTCTTAATCTGTAATCTACAGGCAGTGAATGGTAAATATATATGCACAAGTTAGTGCTAAGTAATGAGTCAATACCTCACTAAATGAATCCTGAAGTTCATTTTATAAGTATTGTCGCACTGTAAACCATCGTTTTCACCAAACTAAACATCTAATTAGTAGATACTTGGGCTGTACCATCACTCGGCCTAAAAACAGCTCTTTTGCGTGATTTTTTTTATTTCAATATAAAAATTCTCTGAGAGTGAACAGAATGAAAAGAACCACTACCATGTTAAAGAACTCTCAAGTCCTCAAAGACTGACACTCTACAATTCTTAGTCTACCTTTTCCTCCCTACCCCGAAACCTCACCTCTAGATTAGAGCAAATGTATCTCTTTTCACTTGATTTGGTACAACCTCTAGGGTTTTGTTTTTGCTTTTTAATAACTATAAGACTGCCACATTCAACCATGCAACTCAAATTTCATTTCTTAGAGATGGTTTGAATCCAGATTCAAACAAGAGTCACACAGGAAACTGAATTATGTCTCTTATCTTTTTATTTTTATTTATGTCCTGAGACTAGGGCTCATGTAGCCTAGGTAGGTTCCAAGTTTGCTATACAGTTGCAGATGACCTTATCTTCTCATCCTCCTGTGCCCTATACTGCTGCAAATGAGCTTGAACTTATGGTCCCCTTGTCTGCACTTGGGATTAGAGGTGTGTGACACCATACCATGTCTTGTTATGTGATGCTAGGGATCAAACAAACCCAGGACTTCATAAATGCTAGGCATTTTACCACCTGAGCTACACCCACCAAACATCTGTACTTTCTTTTCATTTTCCCTGTGTATTTCTTTTTTTTTTTTTTTTTTTTTTTGGTTTTTACGAGACAGGGTTTCTCTGTATTGTTTTGGAGGCTGTCGGTCCAGCCTGGCCTCGAACTCACAGAGATCCGCCTGCCTCTGCCTCCTGAGTGCTGGGATTAAAGGCGTGGGCCACCACCGCCCGGCTCCCTGTGTATTTCTGAAAGAAGTTATCTCATCTCTCTTACAGTTATATTCTGTCCTGTTTAGGTCAACTGTATCCTCCCTCCTGGTACCCCATACTGTAGTAATTAGGAGTGGAGGGCTAATTACACTCAGAGTAAGGTTTCTGACAGGAGTACTTTGTAACATAGTTATGTACGTCCTGTACACCAGCACATGTAGATTAGGATGGTGACTTCTAGTGATACTGAACTGGATCAATGGTTCTGATGTTGCCCAACTGATCTGTCCCTTGTAAACTTCCTATCTACCTTATTAATCACCTACCTAGTTACTCCATTCTTTCATTAGGAATAGCAAACTTATTTTTCTAATTTCATAACTCCTGTTTTTAGTATGCTCATTCTAGAACTTTATCTCATTAACTATTTGGTTACTCAGTCTATACAAGGAAAACAACCACAATGTACAAGTACTTCCTTTTGTCAGATTTTAGGGTGACTGCCCAAGCAACCTCCAGAGTGACCAGTAAGGTGCTGATATTTTTTTTTCCTTCAGTGTCATTGTGAGTTCACAGGATTTTATGCTTTTGAATGCTAATACTTTCTTTATCCATTTAATCCTCAGACGGGACCATCTTTGACCATTAGGAATCCCTTAAAGTTTACTCTAGTATCATTGACATGATCTGTGTCTGCTCTAAGTCTCCTTGTTTTCAGACACAAAATGCCTCAGGCTCAGCTTCTAGATTTTCTAATGAGGCCAAGAACTGCCACATTTGAATAGATACAAATAAATGTAGTACTTAAGTACAATAGAATATTATGCATTTGCCAGAAAGAATTTGGAAACTATTTGTGTACTCCTAAGATATTATATACAGGATATACTGAGAAAGCATGGCATGAGAGGCAAGCATAGTTTCCTGCCTTTTATGTAAGAAGGGAAAGAGAACTGAGTATTTGTATAATGAGAAGGAATATAAAATTAAGGGGGAAGAGAACAGGGGACTATTTACTTGACAAGTGCATATACCATTGAGAAATATGACTCCTCCCTCCAGCAACCACTAACTGCCCACAGCTCTTCAGGAAGGAGTGAATCTATGAGCTCCTCCCCGTCCAAGATAGAATACTGATGGGCCCAGTCTTGTGCAGGTAGCCTCTTTTGCTGTGAATCTGTAGTTGACTGGCCGTATCATGTCCAGCAGACAGCCTTTCACACCTCTTTCCATCCTCTGGCCCCTACATTCTTTGTGCCCCTTCTTCCACAATGTGTTCCTGAGCCTTGTAGGGAGAGGTGACATGATGTTCTATTTCAGATTGAACTTGCAACATCTCAAGTTAACTCTTTCCCACTGCAGACAGACGTTCCTCTGACCACGGCTAACAGCACTAATTTATGGTTGTAAACATAAATATTTAAAAGGTAGCTTGACATCGTATACATTTAGAAAAGCAACGGTAGTGGATTCCTTCCCAAGGCCTGTGACCATGTTAGCTGGAGTCTTTCACCAGATTCACAATATAGCATGAATCACTGCTATGCGGGGGCCCCACACCCAATCAGAACTCATGTCACTAGTGCACCAGCAGCATATTTTGCCTGTCAGGTTGGCAGTGTAGCTTCAGGTGAAGCTCATTATTTTGACTGTGTGTCCCTAGAGCTATGTATCTTAGGACAGGGAGGGAAAAACTATAAGAAATCATAGATTTCATTCAAATCATTAGTAGCAATCTTGTGATTAATAATTTGAGATTATAAGTAGTATAAAACAATTTTCAAATAGCATATAAATGCCACCAACAAGTATAGTTTTAAAGGTGAGAGAAGATACAAGTAGGTAAAAACTTGAAATAGAATATATCAGTCTGAATTCTGGGCTTTGTAGTTTGCTCACTGAAGACAAAATTAAGTACTATGAATTCTCAGATTTTTGTCTTTAGGTACCCTTTCAATTAAATGTCAATGAACTGAAAAATGAAGCAAGCCAGGTGATAGTAACTTTCTGCACAACTAGTCGCTTTGACATAATCTATAGCATTAGAGGAAGTACAGAATGTGAGATCTCAAAGTTTAACTTG